ATGAATTGAAACCTGTAATAAGGTCAGTGATTTGCTTAATTATATTTCAGCTAGTGTATAATTTGAAGATCAGAAGGGTTCCATATATCAGAAGCGTCCCATATATATACAAAAGATCATATATTCCATATATACATATTATCAAAACTTCCGCCATATTTATTTCCTCTGAAAAGTGGAGACACACACGGAAGAAGTACTCTGAGTGCCAACAGAAATTGCCCGTTTAGCAAAGTTTCCGATGATTTTTTTCAAAAATTTTTAGATTTTTTTTTGTTGACGATTTTGACTTTCTGGTGATGATGATGATTCCCGCTCCTGCTCGCATGCGAAAAAAAAAATTCGGTCAGTGTTTACAGCTAAGGGATGAAACAAACACAGACAGACTGCATCGTGCGTAAAATGTCTTCTTACACATGATACTTAAGTCCAATCCCTCTTATTCGACTATTTCTAACATATGCTGGTACAACAGTTTACTGTCGAAACGAATCAACGAATCGTCGAGAGGTTAAGTGTCGAGAGAATAACCATATCGGACCCATGATCTTTAGGACAAAAGCGGCGGCGTTTCTGCTAGTAGTATATTCACTGTATCTGCATATCTTGGGAATCTGAGAAGCTAGAACGCTGAAATCTTTGGGGGGATATTCCTCGTCCAACTGGGTGTTAATGAGCTCAAATCCAGTGTTAGAGTTATATTTGTGAAAGCTAGAAACCAAGAGCTCATTTTTTCGAGATTTCGGTAGACCTAGTTTTTATAGTTTTTGAACTCGGTTTTCCAGGTCCAGTTCCTATATCTGGAATACCTGAGAACGGGGTTTTAATAGAATGAGGTATCTTAATAAGGGATGAAATAAGAGGAACCAAAAAGGAAGGCAGGAGATGAGAATCCCTAGCCCGATTCCTGATCTATGCAGCTGGTAACTTTTCCAGTACCTTTATTGGTCAGTTTATGAAATTTCAGTCAGAATTATCACAAATTATCATGATTTTTTTTAGCGATGCCAATCAACAGCCAATCAGACAACCGTGCGGAAGTGGATTTTATGATTTGTCGTTACAA